CTATTCGTTACATGATGCAGAAGGGACGCACCCCGCTCAAGGACTTATACGTTAATTTGAGACTAAGCTTTCGTGGGCTAAAGCCCACTTCATCAGATGCATGCAGTGGAAAATACAGTAGGAAGATATATATACACAGAGAACATTAAAAAATGGGTTTTGCCATACCCGCTATAATGAGACTAATCAATTAAGATGAGCTATTATCAGCAGGAGAAAAAAAAGCTTTTGTAGTGATAATCAGGATGGTCAATTTGCAAACTGGCCACCATAAAATTAGGCTTGAATAAAGACTGGGAGTGGATGGGTCATTACACAAAGTAAAAACTATTTCCCCATGCAACCCAGAAGATACCCTCTGACTCATGGCATTCCCTCAGCATCTGAAACACTGGAGTTGGCCCTGGTGGTAGAAAAATATATTGTTTCTTGTTAAATAAGGAAATGGAAGAGGTGAGAATAATTCCTCCATCCCCCTTTTATCTTATGCCATCCTGCCTCTCTAACTGGGCTTCTGTAAATTGGTGTTATAGCTAAGGATGTAAATGGAACATCCAAATCAACTTTTAGAAGGAAGGTGAAAATTAACATCTTCCCAGTCAATTGTCTAGGGCAGGGATCGGCAACCTTTGGCACATGGAACGCGGCCTGGTTTGTTTGGCACGTGGATGATCACGGCTCCCATTGGCTGCAGTTTGCCACTCCAGGCCAAAGGAGTCGGCGGGAAGCGGTGCGGGCCAAAGGTTACCGATCCCTGGTCTAGGGCTATCAAATGCCATAAATAGGCTGTGAATGGAAGTAATTATTTAACAGCATGGGATATATTTTTTTTTCCAGTTTGATTTTTTTTTAAAAGTATACCAACAGTTTGGCTGTTTAATCAATCTGTCATATGAAAAAGGGCATGAAAATGTATATACAGAGATCATTTTAGTCACTAAAATCAGCACATATGACCAAATACATACCAAAAACATGTTCTATTCATTAGTAAGAAGTGGCCATTTTCACATAGTCACTTTTCAGAGAAGAGGTGCATTATAAAGGAATGTAACTCATGTGATAACTATGAAAAAAGAAATGTAGCAAGAAAAGCAACTAAATACAAGGGTGCAAATTAAAATCAGGCACCCCCAACTTACAGCTTCTGGATCCTCGATATGCACATTGCCTCAACTCCCTTATGCTGACTCTCACATAGGAAGTAGGTTTCAGTCGGGTATAAAGAAGTCTAATATAACAGTTTTTAAAACTTTATAACACCTGTAAATGTGGCTCTGTGGAACCCCTCCAGAATATGGCTTCTGGAGCAGAGGAATAACCCCAAATCGTTATTAGGCAACTGAATTTCCAAATATGTTTTCCAGTGTATTCATGGCCACACAACTTCTTACCTTTTTCTTTTTCAGACTGCTTGGCTGAGTTATAGTTTTCTTTAAGCATGTGTCCGACACAACAAATTAGAAATGGCCTGGATGAAGGTAACGGATTTAATATATTTTTTCTAATAGGGATGACTTGAAGCTTTGTACTTTTAGAAAATTAAATACAAATACTTTAATATATACTTTAAATATGCCAAAGAATTTTAGGTACTGTTGATTTTCCCCAGTTTGTCTTGTTTTACTACCAATGCCATCATATGTCAAAAAATACACATTTTCTAGTCTATAGTCAGATTGAATTTATGGTGAGAAATTAGCAAAGCACTATAGAGTACGGCATTATTTTTAAAAAGGAAGAGCTTCCTTATGAACTTAATTTGGGAACATTTCTAGTGTGTTACTCAAACATATTTGCTGTAATCTTCTATGGTATTTTTCCAAGTAGGTCAATTTCATTACATGGCTCACCACAGACATAATTTTCCCATGTCTGTCGGTGTTTTATAGTTCAGTACCATATCCACTTATGATCAAAGAAAAGTTCTAAATTCTAAATGGCAAAGCAAGTGTATTCTCTATAGCATATATCCCATAGCAGACCATAACAATAGATATCGCCCTCTTCTGTTTCTGGACACAGGTGGTAAGGGAAGACGGAATAGTGAGCTTCCTCACCCTCCCACCCCCTTCATACAAAAAAGAAGGCAACTTCTTGTGACAGGGCATGGCACTCCACTTCTGTCTTCTCGTACAAATGGCTCTAATACCTCTGGTTTGTAAACACCAATGCATAGTTTATTTGTGTTATCTCAACCACCACCCCATTACAGTCCCATGCAACAACTCTATGTTCAGTAACATACAAATATCATCCCTTTTTGCCAGAGGGAAGAGATCCAGCCACGCAGCAATCTCCCTTTACTGCTAGCCCCTCCCACTCTCTCATTCTCTCCTTGCACTTCCTTCTGGTGTGCATTTCCACTCTTCCACTTAACAGCTCTTAACTGCCCCAGCTCAGGCTGGTCTAGTAACTTGCCTCAGCTTCCCTCAGTCAGGCCCTTATCTGGGGAAACTACCAGTAATTAGACCTGCAGTGACCAGAATGCTGCTGCTGCTGTTGGTTCTCAACACTCTGTTACATTTCTCTAGCAGATGTTCAAGAGAGGACAATGTGGGGGCCCAGCTACTGCATTGGCCAGTGCACCATGATTTTTAGGAGTGTGTCCTGATGGAATGTGTAGCCAGCTCTTCTGCAACCAGCTCACACATATGCTAGAGTGAGCAGCACATGCTAGCCAGGTGCATGCTTCTCCTTTTCAAAAAGCAGAAAGGAAGTGTATCCCACCACAATTTCCCAGTCCATCATGGAGCCATTCTGACCTATGCCAGCACCTCTCTTCTCTCCGCCTCCCCTCCCCCCATCCCACCACTACATCTCAACTCATGGCAGAGCAGGATTTCATCACCTCCCCCCCCCCATCCTTCTCTTTATTTGTAACTGCTGGTTTTCACTACTGCACTCCTCCTGAATTGGTCCAAATTGGCAATGGTATTTTTGAACCCGCCTTATCTCATCTGGACACAGTAATTTGTTCTTGGAATCTCACAAACAAATTCTAAGTATTATTAACAACTGTCTCCAGAGAAGCTGAAAAGCTTAATTTTGCTTCCAGCCCCCTGCCAATTTAAAATCTTTAATACTACAACCAGGGTTTGATTTTTAAAAGCCCACATTTTAAAGGACAGCCTTCTACAATCCCTGTTTTCTTCCACAATTTAACAAAGAAATGTTTTTTTCTTTAATGGGTACTCATTTTTCTCATTAGTTGGTGCATTGCACTCCAGCCTCACCATGTGATCACTTCGCACGGGCCTCCCAGGATTTATGTTTAATACAGTTAGCTGTTTGGTTGGTTTGCTTTTTGTTGCTGCAGTAAAGCAGAGAGGTAGCGTGAAAACTAGTCCATGAGCTAATGTCCCAGAGAAATTGTGCAACCCAAACAAACTCTGAATATTATTTGAAGATTTATTACTATGAACTTTCCTGAGATGAATTTGGGTAGTAACAGCAAATGTCAAGCTCACTGTAATCCTCTATGAAAAACAGCTTAGCTACAACAGATAAATGATCCATGTGCCCAGAGAAATTAGCTCCGCTTTTTCTTCCAAATCAACCCGGTGTCTAATGAGATCATAACATTGATCGGCTGGATACTGCTCCGGAGATCACTGACCCAGGGACTTCTAGTGCCAACTGACAGGGCACAGGGTTGCATGAGAATTACAGGGATCCCCTGAGTCTGGTAGCTACATAATATTTCACCAAAGGTGTCATAGAATCATAGAATATCAGGGTTGGAAGGGACCTCAGGAGGTCATCTAGTCCAACCCCCTGCTCAAAGCAGGACCAATTCTCAACTAAATCATCCCAGCCAGGGCTTTGTCAAGCCGGACCTTAAAAACCTCTAAGGAAGGACATTCCACCACCTTCTTAGGTAACCCATTCCAGTGCTTCACCACCCTCCTAGTGAAAAAGTTTTTCCTAATATCCAACCTAAACCTCCCCCACTAGATCTCTACTGAAAGCGTGTGTCAGTGATCATCATAATCACTGTGAGATGTATGTGTGGATAATATGTATTGAGTAATGTACATATGATGAAAATTATGCTTGTACGGCCTGTGAGCTTGGGCTGGTCACCAGAAAGAGATAAACAAGGTTGTTTCAGGCATGAGTCGTTAATCTATCTATTTGGTTATATGTAAATTGAGTATTGTATGGCTTGTGGTGGGTGCCCATCTACAGACTGAGTCTAATGTTAATGAAGGATTGTGAAATCTTCCAGAGAGGGAATTTACAGGAAGAAATAAACCAGTAGGAAGTCCAGAAGAAAATGGATCATTGGAACTATATCGGGGGGTACACCCATTTCTGGGGACAAGCTGCTAGCTGGCTTGTCTTATGAATGGAAGATCACAGGTGATCTGGCTACTTGATGCTGTGAGAGAAACTTTAGGTGAGCTAACCTTTATGAGACAACAAGGAGTCCGGTGGCACCTTAAAGACTAACAGTGAGTTTTTTTACCCACAAAAGCTTATGCCCAAATAAATCTGTTAGTCTTTAAGGTGCCACTTGACTCCTTGTTGTTTTTGTGGATACAGACTAACATGGGTACCCCCTGATACTTGACTTTATGAGACAGGGGAATGTTTTGTTAGTTAAGTTTACACTCTAGAAAGCATGTTATGATTGTATTTGATATGTAACCCTTTGTTTCCATTAATTCTACTTGCTTCTTCTTGAATCTCATTCTTTGTTAAATAAACTTCTTGTTTTAACTATAAACATCTCTAAGTGCTGGGTGTTGAGCAGAGTGGTGATCCTGAGGTGCAGACTGGTGTTCACTGTTCCTTCGAGAATCATAGATCTGTGAATTCTGTGAGTGTCCAGTGGATCAGGGGCTGGACTCTCCAGTGGGATGCTCAGATGGCTTGGGGGTTGGGGTGTGCCTATAATTAACCTGTAAAGTCAGAGTGGGGCCTGGGGAAGCCTGGAGGGCAGTGCTTGTGTTGCCAGAGCTGGTTATGGTGGGGAACTGACCCACAGCAGGTATAGACAAGGTTTCCTCATTCTAAGAGCAGGTGGAAGCAAGATGCTTCACCACACTGGGTATCCCCAGGAAGTGTCACAGTTGCCACGTAGATTATAGCTAATGATTTATCGCTGTCTGTTTGAGGTTTAACATTTTCAAGGGCACTCCTCTGGGATGCCTCACACTCTTCCTCTTTTATTTCCCCTCCCCAGCCCACCTAACTGGCCTTGTATTTATAAACCTGTAATTAGAAGCTTCAGAGTGGGAGGAGTTCTCTGCTCCCTCTGTTGATGAAAAGGGAGAAGAATGGCTATAGAGAGCCTCATTTACATATTTTGCATAGCTACATTCCACCAGAGTCACCGTAATTGTGCCAGACTTAGACATTAGTGGGGAGGTGAAGGAATCTACTCCAAGCACCTTAGAAGTTCTTGGCTTCCCCCTTCTGAGGATCCTGCAGCACACGGAAGTCTTTTCAGCACAGAGATAGCAGAAGCTGAGGTGTCTTCAGTGAGGTCCACCCCCAAACAGCCCATACGTTTAGCTGAATCACAGTGCGGCGTCAGAGGGTGGTGCCTCACTGGCGGGGCTACGTAAGCAGCTTCAGTGCCTTTCAATGCCTGAGCTACTGCTGTTCACTGCCCTGACCAAGGAGTGGGGTTTAAGGTGGGTGGAGTGATGTGAGCAGAGATTCTGGGCATCTACAGACACGGGTGGGGAAGGAGCTGAAAAAACGACTGCAGAATGACTACGTGCTTTATTTAAATGTTACAGTATTGCTGAATGTCCCCAGATTTTATGTCCCCATTTCCTTAATAAAGATTCCCTTGCTTTGCATATGGAGTCAGAGTATTTGCAAAGGACATTCTACTGGCTAAGAGCAATCCAGAGGTGGCTTTATATATTTTCCCCCTGAAGTCTGGGTGGTGGCTCATCACTTGTTATTCTTCAAGAGGAGCCCTAGACATACTGACGCCAGCCATTATTGCTGCCATTATCCAGCTAGCCTCTGCAAATATGTCTACACAGCCTGTGCAACAAGCCTCCCAGGCAAAGTCAACAGATTTGGGCTAGTGGGGGGTCACACTGGTGCTCTAAAATAGCTGTGTAGATAGTGTTTTGAAGTTGCAGCTTGGGCTACGCTTGGGCTCTGAAGCCTCCCTCTCTCCCTAGGCTCAGAGCCCGAGCATCGGGCTGAGCCACAACATCAAAGCTCTGTCTACAGTTATTTTTAGAGCACAAGTATGAGCCACGCTAGTCCAAATCTGTCGATTCAGACTGGGAGGTTTGCTGCCACAGGCTGCGTAGACATACCCTTGGATAAGATGTAGCTTTTCTAATGGCGGAAATGACCACAGGCTACTCTTCTAATTACAGCCAAAAAGTGGTTCCAAATTTCCATCACTTGACATGATCCGCCTTTAGTGCAACTGCTAGGAGAGACATGTGAGGAGACACTCCAGCCACAATCCAAAACAACAACATATACAGAGAGCAGCATATCTCCTTTTCTTTAGCATGAGATGTCTTTATTTGTTAGTCAGTG